CACACACACACACACACACACACACACACACACACACACACACACACACACACACACACACACTAACACATGCGCACACATAACCACACACATACCTTGATATGCTGCCACACCATTGAAGGCGCTTCTGTCCACCTTGTCAAGGCAGAGGGTTAGGTTCCTAACGGAGAAGACTTTGCGCAGACCCTTCTCCGGTGACTGCAAATTCAACAGGCAGCAAATTACCAAAGCCACATAACAGCAAAACAACCAATTAGCACATGCAACCCATGCTGATCTGGCATTATCGCATGTTGACAATCATGCAGGCGGGTTTGTCTGTTTCCTCGCTCACCCTACCCTCTAATAGTGTTCACAGGCACTGCACCAACCATCCAGCATAAGCCATTTTCTAAGCTGTTAGCTGAACAACAGATTATCAGCCATCTGATTGACTGGTCAAAGCCCTCGACCACTCATAGTTAACCTTCGAGTCCTCCACATGCTATGAAGAAAAGATAACTTCATTATTGCTACAGGTAATGAGAAGATGAACCTTTGTACTAAGATCTATCCAAAAGCCTGGACAGTAAGTTAATGAGCAGATGAACCTTTCCGACGGGCCTAGCCCAGTTGGTACACCCATGAACTGTTGACATACAGACCCAAGTTTGAATCCAGATGGAACCAGTTGAATCAAACAAAATATCCAGGACCGGTCAGTCGAGATCAAGGTCATCACCCTTTTTAAAGAGGAGGAGGACGAAGGATGGGAAGGGGAAAAAAAAAAAAAAGATGAACCTTTGCTGTCAGGATTCCCCAGGCCATAACGTGGTGAAGCGTTTTACATCTAGGGTGTATCTCAATTCAGGGATGCTGGACCCGGTTTCCAGCAGGTGCTGCCCCCCACCAATAGCAAGGAGCTTCAGTATTCAAAAAAAAAAAGAAGAAGAAGAAGAAGAAGAAGAACCTTTGCACTAAGATTTATCCAAAAACCTTGACAGAAGTGTTTTACTATTAACGAGAAAACGCACCGTTGCATTAAAGATTCATCATGACAACATTCCTTGGACCATCTTCTCACATCTAGCGAGCATGATGCAGCATATGTTCACTTCAGCCCTAGGCACGACTCTGGGTTCAAACCTCTTGCTTTAGCAAGTGCCCAAGTTGAGAACGCTTTTTTGGTGACAGGCCTCTGAGCTTGGAGGATAAAAACAGTCTGGCTGCAGGATTGGCCATTCAGCACAAGAATCGAAACTTTTGGGGCCTTGCCTTAACTAGTCGTAAAAATGGGGACAATGCCCCATCGATGAGATAACAACGAATGGGAAAGGGACAGCCACTTATTGTCTTACACACAGACTTTATGAAAACTGCAACAAAAAAGCATGTCAATAAGGTTCTCCCAAAGGCTCCCGAAGACTGTTAGTCCTAACCCCGTCGGCAGACACTTCAGACAAACAGATCAGCCATTTACAGGAAACAATCATTAATCAATTACTCAAGAGACCCAAAAATAAAAAGGGGGGCCATGGGGGGGAGGAGGAAGCCCAAACCAAGAGCCATAGAGCGGTACGTCTCTTGCGCACACAAAGCCATAGATGTTCACATCAGTCCACAATTAGGGCCTCGCTCAACAACTCGCCAAATGTGCAGAATGAGAATGAATCTTCCGCTAGAACATGGAAAGATACACAGCCATACATTTGTTGTCTTTTGTGCATCTGGTGAGCGGTGGAGCAAGGCCCTTATCCACTCCGCCATACCGATGCATATCGCTCCGGCATTAGCATGACCCACTCGCACTACGGCCCCCAACTTCTCTCAACTTTCTCCTTGCCTCCCCCTTGACTCAGCCAAGCACCCAAATAAACACACAAGCACATCAGCTGAACAGGAATCAGGGGGAGAGCTATCTAACAGGTCGTTTGCACAAGAGATTCACTCAGTTGTTGCACGTACCACAAAACCCTTTTGCCAGTCCTCCCCTGCTGATTCCACAGTGAGCGACTCGCATGACAGACTTGCAACAGCTCCCTCCATCCTATACTTGCACACAAGGTTGTTGACTCTCACCCTAACATTGGCCAATGCACGCCACAGCACTGACTTTACCCATCCACTATTCCCCAGACTTGCCCAACCTTGCCCTGTCTCAGAGTCCCCTGCAAATAATAACATGAAAAGGACGGACAGACAGAACAGTGGGTTCAAAATGAGAAGAGAAGCACGTTACTTTAAACTTTTTTTTTTCCACCAGGTCCATGTTTTCTAGGCACGAATATAGCACCTATGAAGCCTGGTCCTCGGTAGCTCCAACATAAGGGATGAGCTCGAGACAACAGAATAAAATAAACACCAAACTCAACAAAAGCAAGACATGGGATGGTACATGCTCAGTCGAGCGATGTATGGGAAGCCAAGGATCCGCAAAGTGGTGAAAAGGACTCGAATGGAAAATGCAGTGCGAAGATATGACCTGACCTATCAGAGACTGACGCAACATCCCATCATACACCACACATGCGAGAGAGGGAGGAGGGACCACATACATGGAAGAAAGGTCCCTCCTTGAACACGCACATGGGGGAGATACCACGGATGAAGAGATAGGAGAGAGGCGAGATGAAGATGGAGGTGAGGGAGAAGACCAAGATCACGATAGCAAAGTCCAAAAATAGTCCCCCTGCCGAATGTCCAATCAATGTCTTCCGTAAAAATGTCGAATCACATCCTGGGCCTTATGCCCAATGTAACCTCTGCCTGAAACCTCTCTCTCTCTGAAGAAGAAGAAAGGCAAAGAGGAAGAAGAAGAAGGAGGAGGAAGGAGGAGAGATGGAGGGCAAGTCCAAAACAACGCCTGAACAGACAAAAATAGGACAGCAAATAAACAAATAAATAAATGAATGCTGCCTCAAACCGAAACCTGCAGCCTTAAGGCCGGTCGTGGGCCTCCAGGGTGCGCGTCTGAGGGATGTGCGGCCTGGGGGCCCCAGCAACCGTCGGGCCCCCAAAATGGGGCCCGTGTGCAGGCTCAGCATGTAACATGGGGCCTTGCTCCACTACTCACCAAATGTGCAAAATGAGAATGAATCTTCCGCCGCTAGAACAAAGACAGATTGTGCAAAATGAGAATGAATCTTCCGCCGCTAGAACAAAGACAGATTGCGGTGAGCAGTGGAGCGACGCCCATTAGCAGGGCAATGTATCAACACTCTGCAGCCTTCTCCTCCACACTGCTACGCATACTGTTACCCTCGGCTGCAGGCGTCATTGCTCTGACAGAATCACTACAATGCCAGAGTTTCTGCAGCCACGTGTGCAGAGGTCTGCCCTTCCTTTCTTGACTCTGCTCACCCTGTCCATTTCCCAGCCACGGACGTCATTATCACTGCATGCTTACCCTCCGCATCCAGATACCATCATCATGTCCATTTCCCAACCACGCACGTCATTATCATTGCATGGTCCGATGTAATACCCCTTCCGTCTTTTCTCCCGGCCTGTAACCCACATGCCATTTGCCGGGAGTGCTTTGTGTTCGCGGTCAAAGCCAGCCGTAATGGCAACTGCTGTGCTGATAACACTCAGCTAAATCTTCCATGTCATCAACCATGGCATTCCCAAATTCACATCCTTTCGCTCGACGAGGGCTGACTGACTCCTGGGTCTCCATTCATCCTTCCCCATACCGTCATTGCTATTCCGCACTCCTCGTTTCTTGGTCCCTGTCATTCCTCTTTCTGTCCTTCCTCTCTGTCTTCCCTCCCTGTCTTTCCTCTCTCTGTCTCCCCTCTCCTTTTACTCTGCCTCTTTTCTACAGCGTGGAAGTGGTCCATTGTGGCACATGTGTGCGCTCCCTTTAGCCCTCGTGCAAGTAGGTACCCCTTACTCAACTCCACCAACATGGCAAGCCTTGTGCCTGAGAGGCACAGTACACAGAGAGCTGAAAGAAGAAATAAACCACCCCTGCAAAAGAGCCTATTTTGTCAAACTGAAAAAACAAAAGAAAAACAACCTGCCCTGGCCTGCCCAGCCTGAAACGTCAATCCTATCGGGTCACATGGACTTCGATGGAGATATGCATTCGTTTCAAAGTGAATGTTTTTGTTTTTGTGTTTTTTTCCTGATGTGGCGGAACCTAGTCTACACCCCTGATTTATTTCACGGTTTTTCATCACCGGAAATAAGAATTGTAAATCGCCAAGTTGGTTTACCCAGAATTTTGCTGGGCGCCGTAGCCACCATACCTGCAGTAAGAGGGAGAGAGAGAGAGAGAGAGAGAGAGAGAGAGAGAGAGAGAGAGAGAGAGAGAGAGAGAGTACCGGCCTCCAGAATGGAATTCCCATTGCCATCAGCTCACTGCCTTCCTAAACATTTTATCATCCAGTGTTTGAACACCCCCAATGTGACTCGGCGCAGAACCTTTTAATCAACCCTAAGCGGTATGACACTACGGTTAAGAATCGAGACATTTGGCAGACGTCCTGGATCCAGTAGTGATGCACGGCATTGAGTATCACCGCTGGCAAAGGACCTGCTTTCATCTCCCATTGGAAGATTTTGCTCTGATCATAGCTTCTCACAAGTGAGAAAACTCAAGAGCAAGATTCCCAATCATCTGAAATATCACACCACAGAAGCACAACCAACCACAAGAGTGTGAAAAAGAGATAGCAAGAGAGAGAGAGAGAGAGGCACAGAGAGACAGAGACACAACCAATCACAAAAGAACGAAAAAGAGAGAGCAAGAGAGAGAGAGGCACAACCAATCGTACGAAAGAGCAAGAGATAGCAAGAGATAGCAAGAGAGGGCAAGAGAGAGAGAGAGAGAGAGAGAGCGCGCGCGAGAGAGAGAGAGAGAGAGAGAGAGCATCGCCCTCTAAATTGTGATTCCCAGTGCCAGCGGTTGACTACCTTCATTAAGTTGCCGTTGACATTCTATCAGCATGCTTTTCGACTCCCCAAAAGACTTCACAAAAACCTTTTAATCACTCCTCAGTGGCATGACACTACAGTTAAGCATCAAGGCATTTGGCAGACCTCCGGAATCCAGTAGCGATAAATGGCATTGAGCATCGCTGCCGACAAAGGGGCTGCTTTCGTCTCCCACGGGATGATTTTGCTCTGGTCATAGCTTCTCATCAATGAGAAGCACTCAAGAGCAAGATTCCGAATCGTGGGAAAGCCGTAACTCCCTCTCTCCAAGACATATCTGAAATGTCACCAGAGAAGCACAACTAATCACAAAAATTTGAAAACAATGGTCAAAGATGTCCTCTGATTCGGGAAAAGGACACCTGCAGCTTGTTGCCATAATAAGAGAAGTAAAGGGAAGAGTGAAGAGAAGAAGAGCTATGGGAGGACAGCATCCAGAAGAAAGTCCAGGGGGAGAGGGCGGAAGGCAGGGGAGTAGTGGAGTCCAGGGGGAAAGAGTGGAAGGTAGAGGAGAAGTAGAGCCTGAGTTTCCGGGGATTCTTGGCGGTTCAACTGAGTAGAAAAGAATGGAACCTGGTTAGAAAACAAACGGTGATAAAAAACTTCATTCCTTAACTGCCCCCCATCTCACTTTCACAAAAAAATTCCCCCCAAGTGACTTAAAATAAAATCGTCGTTAATGGCATGACATTACAGTTCAGCACCAACACATTTGGCAGACCTTCTGCATCCACTAGTGAGGCACGGCATTGAGCATCAACAGCAGCACAGGAGCTGCTTCATCTCCGACGGGATGATTCTGCTCTGATCATAGAGCATCAACACCAGCAAAGGAGCTGCTTCATCTCTGACGGGATGATTCTGCTCTGATTAAAGATGCTCATCACTTGCCGTGGAAATACCCCTTCTCTCTCCCCTAGACATGCCCGACAAGATCGTCATAGAGATACAAGCAATCACAAAACCCCTAAGAAGATCACCACAGACATGCTCTGATTCATGGAAAGGACCCCAACAGCTTGTTGCCAAAAGAAGAGAAGCAACAGAAGAGCCAACAGATGAAAGGGAAGGACAAAATCGAGAAGGGAGTGCACGGCGAGGGAGGCAGAGGCAGGGCAGAAGTGAAGCCTGAGCTTCCAGGTTTGCTGGAGGTTCAACCAAGTAGAAACTACAGAACCCGGTCAGAAACCGAGAGACGAGAGCCTTGATTCAGAACTCCCTCAACCTGACTTCACACAAAACCTTTTCAGCACCGCCAACGTGACTTCACACCTACCCATTCAATCACTCCTAAGAAGGCAGCATCACACCACAGTTCAGCATCAACACATTTGGCAGACCTCCTGCCGTCGGTAGTGACGCATGGCATTGAGCACCACCACCAACAAAGGAGCTGCTTTCATCTCCCACGGGATGATTTTGCTCTGATCATAGCCACTCAGAAATGAGGAGAACTCGAGAGCAAGATTTCGAATCGTGGAAATAGCCCTTCCCTCTCTCCTAGACATGCCTGTAAAGATCGTCATAGAGGTGCAAGCAATCAAAAAGGCCCTAAATAGATCACCACAGACGTCCTCTCATTCATGAACAACTCCTTGTCAAAAGAAGAGAAGCCAACAGAAGAGCCGATGAAGAGGGAAGCAAAGACAAAATCGAGAAGGGAGTGCAGGGAGAGAGGCAGAAGGCCGGGTAGCCCGAGCTTCCAGGGTTCGCTGGAGGTTACACGATAGAAAACTCGATCGAATACTATTCTTTTTCACAAAGGCAGACAAACCTTGAAATTACTGCACTCGGCACTGTACTCCGTAGAGTCTCATGACAGAATTGATAAATGGGCTGGAGATCAGGACCTGAAAAAACTCTTTGAATTCGCAAAACGACAGGTCTGTAGACAAGGACAGAGTCCCCAAAGTCATGGAGGAGGTAATGTAATGGGGCCAAAACAATGGAGATCAGCGGAAAGCCTAACCCAACACATACCCAAGTTGTGCCAGATTCCAGAAGTGCCCAGGACCTGCCGGAACCATTCCAGATTCGGACGGCCTCCGGAGCTGAACTGAAGCAGCATTCATACCAATCCCTCACCGCAACGTACTTGTCTCAAGAAGCAGAGATAACAAAGGTAGCAGGCACTCAGGAAGGGGCTGCGAGAGGAAGTAAGATGGGCGGAATAAATCTAAAAGAGTTTAATTTGAACTACCAGTATGTTTCCCAGCTATTTCCTTCCGACAAGTCATTACCCAGCCACAAAATCAAGGGTTGTGTCTACCAGATGGAGAAGGGTGGCACCACCAGGCGAGAAGACCTATGTTACCAGGCCGTCTGGACCCCAGACGTCCAGATGGCCGTCCATGGATTTGGTTGTCCATAAAATTCCCAAACGTATGTGAAGAAAAAAAGCTTCAAGAAAATCTAGAGAAAAAAACGCTATGCAGCATTCTAATGCAAACAGTTTTCGCCCGGGAGACATCTCGACATTCCTACCAGAATTCGAGTCAAGCATAAAATAAAATAAAACAAAAATGAAAAAAAAAAAACTGTGCAAGACCTGGACATGCTGTCCAAACGGGGACATCCGGGACGGCTAAAAAGTGGCCCGGTCATCCAGGCTGGGCTAAGAAAAAGATGCAGTTTTGCACTCATGGAGGTTTGTTCTTTTTCTGGGCGAACAGCACAGATCCGGACTGGAAAAAAAAGGGCTCGGACAGACTGATGGTTTAAAAAGAGCGTGAGAGATCATCTCCTCCTCCTGTATGATGGCGCCCCGCATGAGGAAATACCCCTCGAGGAGGGTGATGTGAAAGAGGGCAGTAGTGGATCTGCGGGAGATGCTACTGCTGTGGCGGCCAACGAGGGTGGCCAAAAGAAAGCAAAGAAGAACCCAAGGTTGTACCCTGCACACCCTGGCATAGCAACAGGCTAAACGCTGGCAGAAAATTTGTATAAGCCGTGAAGTGTGGCAGGAATTGATGGATAAGAGCCTGTGCAGAAAGGATGGACACACCATACCTCAGTAAGTTAGTATCCATCCCGGTGACAACAGCCAGTAGAAGTAGCACCTGCTTCCACTGAGCCGGAAGGTGCAGTAGATTTGGCACCATGACTCGCCTCTGACCCTCGAAGCTCCTATATGGCAGAGGTTGGCCATTCGTCATCTCTTCATCCAACTCACTTCTCTTAACCTGTATTCTGTTTCGATTCATTGAATAGCAAATTCGTCAAAATGGACACTTTTAACGAAATTGAACCCGACTAAATTGGCCCGATTCAGGTCGAAATTTTGACGAAACTGAGGGTATTGAGGATCAGGCATACTTAAAGCGCCACCCATTGAGGGTAAGCGCCGTACCCCCTGAACTCCAACTCCAGATACATCCAGGGGGTCCAGTGTTCTTAATACGCCAGACCCCCTGGACTCCAGGTAAGTCCAGATACATCCATGGGGTTCGGCATTTTAAGAACGCCGGACCCTCAAAAGCTAAAAATTTTCATCTGAATCGGGCCAATTTAGTCGGTTTCAATTCTGTTCAAAAAATAAAAATGTTCGTTTTGACAACATCGCTGTCATTGGGTGAATCCATTGATGAACTTGGTAATGAACTGATAAACTAACAAAGTTCATGGGCTGGGAATAAAAACAAGAAAGGGAAGTTAAATTAGTTAATTATATTTGACAGAGACGTAAACAGAACAAGAGTTGGTGCACTTGCAGATGCAGAATAAACCAGGTCTTGCATCTTAAAACGAGCGATAGACAAGTTACACTTGTGGATGGAAGGTATGAAATTGATCGTATTATTGCACACAATTGCGTCAGGACCGGGTAGAAAAAGAGGCACCATAAGGTGAGATATAAAGAGTCAAAACCCGTCTGAGGACATACGGTTCAGCAGACAGAATCTTCTAGAAACAGCTCCCGACTCCTGACATTGTGTCAGGATACGGGAAAGCTTGACATGGAATTCGAGAAGTAGCAAAGGAAGAATGAATTTCACCGGAGGACCTTCAAAACAAGATGGCAGGAGTGCAAGGAATACGAGGCTAAGTGCCTTAGAATTGAGTCTAGGGTCGTGTCTTCAAGCCTGAGCCTTAGATCTGGGGTCAAAAGTCACCACATAGGGCCAGGAGTCGTCTAAGACCTCCCACCTCCCTTAAATCAAACGGTCCGGGGTTCGGAGGCTCAGAAATACCCCGAGTCAGGCCCCACCCTGGCACAGTAAACCATGAGTCAAAGACTTCCTCAGAAGTCAAACTCAACCTTATATCACACTCCATCCGAAGGCTCAATCCAGTTTCCAGAACCTTCCAAACTTTCTGGGATCAGGCATACACAGGCCGTGACAAAATCCTGGCGACAGAGATCAAGAAAACTTGTCGTTCCAGGAAGCAACCTGAAGCAGGTCAGACCAAGACAACACTACAAAGCGCTGGCTCCGCCCTGGTTCCGGCACTAAGTCAGTCTGTCTACGCAAGTTGATGTCGATGTTCAAGAACTGGAGGAGTCTTTTGTGCACCAGGCAGAAGTAGAGAGGTAGGTTTGGGTGCCCATAGCTTACTGTCGAGTAGGCAGGCTGCTGCCTCCATTGCTGTAGTGTGTGCCGTGAGTCAGGAAGTGAGACTATGGAATGTCAGAGGTAAGACCAGAAATGATTATGTTGGTACTTTATGTGCGGAAGTAGCACTTGACAGAGTGCTTGGCGAAAGAGATTGTGGGTCGGTGGGGCAAGACAGGAGCAGTGCTGGACATTGATTGGAGAGTGACTTTTGAATTGGAGAGAGTGCTTGTTGGCATGAGAAGGGCCAGAATTGGAGAGATCGAAAACTTTCAAAAAAGACTGTGTTTCTTTTTCTTAGAGGGCGATGCCTTTGAATCATAGTTGAACTTACCCAAGTAATTCAGTTCTAGTTTATTCATCCAATTACATCCAGATTCGAACTAAAGGTCTGTTCATCAGCAGTTCATGGGTATACCATTCAGCCTCGTGGGCTTGGTAGAAGAAAGAGTAATGAAATTACTATCATTCTCTCCTCCTGCATCATCCCCTTTTCCCCCTCACCATCTTCTTGTTTTTTTAGTTCAGTGCTAGGTTTATGCATACGATGTGTTCAAGAGGTGAGCGGAGAAAGCTGGGTTCATTGCATAACAACATGAGAGCCTCCATACCTTGCAGTGCAGATGGCGGTCCCAGCTGGAATGCCAGGTCGCAACCTGTCACGTCTATCATCACTGCATTGACAATTCCCAGAAGTGCATTGCATTGTCGCCCATCTAAATGGAACAGCATCCTGTCCAAATGAATTGTTGATTTCCAGCTTTTGAGATGCCCATCCACGACAGTCCCTTTCCCAATGTAAGTGTCATGCTCCTTCTCACCAACTGGCAGTCTCTCCTCCTGTAGCCTGAGCAACACATGTACTGGTTCGAGGACGGCTGATGGAAGATCCTGCAACATCATGCAATCATCCATCACTGCACTCAGCATCTCTCTCTCTCTCTCTCTCTCTCTCTCTCTCTCTCTCTCTCTCTCTCTCTCTCTCTCTCTCTCTCNAACAGAAAGCGGATCATTGCCTGGCTGGAGCAGCTGCTGGTCGATACCTCTCAGTTGTAGTTCAAAGCGTTCAGTTGCAGTGACAGTATGTAGACAGCGCAATTGCTTTTTATGCCACGTTCCCGCGGAATACAAATCAGTATTCCAGCGATAATGGGCAAGCCAGTCAACGCGTTGCCGGTTAGAGAAAGGGGGATTGTGGCCCCGTGAACGAAGAGAAGGAAGCGGTGCTGTGCCTGTCGCGCCACCAACAGGAAGAGTCCCGAATGAACTAACCCCCTATAAATATACTTGCATAGGAAGAGTAGGGAGGAGAAAAGCAAAGGACCGACGGTAAAAAAAAAAAGCACGTCAATTTGTTGCCACAGTCAGGCTAGCAAAATACAACCACATTCAGTGCCAGACAAAACCACCCAAGCAGGGAATGTAAGAACAGTCAGAACACACCCAACCCATGCGGGTGAATGGCACATGCATGTGACGGATGATAAACAGACCATCAACAGTTCAACTCTTGACGGAATCAGACGGGCGGAAAAGAAAACGCGTAAGGAGTAATTCATACCTTCTGCAGCTTTGAAAAAAAAACACAGTTAAAGAGAGAGAGAGAGAGAGAGAGAGAGAGAGAGAGAGAGAGAGAGACAGTGTAGGAGAACAAGAACAAATTGAAATTGGATGCTTCACTGACCAAATCCAACCAGCGACTCTCCTTCAGAACTATTGATGGCAAATCCACCTCCTCCTTCGCCTCCTTCCGCTCCACCATCTCCACCGTTCCCTCCGCGAACATTTCCACCTATCGATTGACGATGCTGCTGCTGGTCTGCTGATGCGCCTGCCGGTTGTGAAGCTGTCCCCTCTGCAAAAACACACTCCACCGTGTCTAGCACCACTTCGATCGGGTCCGTGGCAAGACGCCTCCATGGGATTCTGATATGAAGCTCTCTAGCAAAGGTGCGAACAACAGAGCACGGAAAATTCTTGACTACCTCTGTGGAGACAAGACACAGAGCAGTACAGACAGAAAACAAGCGGGGCAAAATATGTTTAAGGCAAGGTACTACAGTGTTATTCTCTTTTTATCATACCTGCTATGGTTACCCACCCAAACGTGAAGGGGCCGAAGTTCCCAAAGTTTGGCCCCGCCAAAAATCATTCAGGGGAGGAGGGGCAGGAGGGGGAATGGGGGAGGGGGGGGGAAGTCAATTTTTTTTTTGCTGAGTTTTGTAGGATGTAGGGTACATGCTTATAAATTTTCAGGGCATTTGGCTGATCCAAAAGACAAAAAAAAAAGTCGCCAAAGACGTCGATCTCAAAAATGTGCTCGCCCACTGTTTTTCTTTTCCTTTTCCCTTTTTCTTTTCTTTTTCCTTAAACCTTTTTAATGTGTGTGTCTGTGTGGTAGTATGTGTGTGTGTGAGAGAGAGAGACTGACTGACAGACTGAAGAGTCAATGAATCTAAGTTAATTGATTCAAATAACCACATAAAGAGTGAGTCGGGTACAACATATAATCAAAACCATTCTGAGATATAGAGACTTTTTCTAAAGTACTACTACTGAGGTTCGAATATGAGCCTCGTAATCTCGCTATGTGCTGGAACACCTTGGAAGGTACGAAGTACGAAGTCCTTCTTCGCTTAGGTATCTAAACATTTTCTCATTGTTTTCGCATTCACTGGGTTAGAGTTAGGTGTTGCTGTATTACAAGCTTTATGTATTTACTATTCTAATATGTATTTGCTGTATTACAAGCTTTATGTTTTTACTATTCTAATATGTATTTACCTAAATGACGCTTTAAATCTTCATTAACCACTTTCTCCCACTTCGTGGCCATGAAAAATTCTCTTCTGTTTAAATCAGAGAACTTATGAATGAAATATGGCTTGGAATTTCCAAACACAACACGATTATAGAGCCAAATGGAATAAGCTGCTCCTAAAATCATTCCAATGACTGCCAATGTTGCAACATGGAAAATTTGGGCCCTAAAGGGCCTTTGTATTTGACCGGTCGCTGACCAAAAAAGAGAAGATAGCCATGTTTGCCAATGATTTTAGAGAGAGAGAAAGAGAGAGCTAGCGAGAGAGAGAGAGAGAAAGGAAGTCTCACATACACTAACAGGCAGTCTTTTTTTCCCTTTAGTAATCAATCAATGATCAATCAATCAGTCAATCAATTAAACCGCCAGTACTTGGCCCATACATTGGCCGAGGGCGTTTCCCGTTAACGCGCCGCAACTGATGGGCTTCAGCCTACCGGACCACAATGGCTGGAAGCGCCAGCCAAAACAGAAACGAAACGACACGGCGGCAGCTCGGCAAAACTTGGTGAGCAGGGCGTTTCCCGGCTCGGAATCAATAGCTGGGCCAAGTACTGGTGGTTTAAGAAGCTGGTGATCGAAAGTTTTAAAAAAAAAAAAAAACTAGGGTACCAGAGTCCACCGGGACCTTTTGTCCGACCGGGCCCAAAAAAATTAAATTTTTATTCTAAAGTTGGTAAAGAATTTCGATGTGACCCCGGGGCAAAAGTTGTTCAGTTTATTGTTCTGCATAACTTTTTTTTTCGGATTCTTTTGAGTTTTCTTTTTTATTTATTTTGGCGTACAATTTCAGCCGAACGCATCTCCCAGGGGGGGCGAACATTTCGCCATTCGGGTTTGGCAGTTCTGCCGGACCCCAACGCCAGCTACCATGAGTACGGCATTATTGTATTTTCAATTTTTTAGGATTTTTTTCCATTACCAATTTACCTAATTAATATCTCAATTTAATTCCAATTACCAATGAACAATCAAATCAATGTGTTTTAATACGTCATTATCGTATCTTTAGGATTTTTTTTCCATTAGCAAAGCAAAAAAACACAAAGATGATTCGGGAACTGGAAGAAAAAAGGAAAACCGAGCGAATACGCCTCCCATGGAAAGTACGTCAATTAAATTCGAGATCGTGGGAACTGGGGAAATCGATTATCTACCCAAAATGAAATAAAGTCCCAAAGACCAAATTCACCTAACATATATTACTAATTCACCTAATATATACCTCAATTTAATTCCAATTACCCATGAACAAAGAGCATGGATCAAATCAATGTGTTTGTGTTTTCCGTCTGCATGCTATTTCATTCACAAAGACACAGAGAGAGAGAGGGGGGGGGGGGGAGAGAGATTTGAAATCATTAAGAACCTTATCAAATAACCATCGCTTGTTCCGAAAACAGTAGCACTTACGTGCCTAGGGAAAGGGCATACTCACACTAGCACTTTCCTATATGTATCTGACCGCAATTACAGCCAGACGTGGATGAATCTGACAGCAATAACGTCCAGAGCTTAGTAGAGGAGGAGTGCCCCAAGAGCAGCGCTGAATTCGCACATACAGCAGGAGAAGCCGCTATAGCGATTGAGCAGAAGCAGAAAGAAAACTGCCTAGATCTACACACGCACGATACATCACAACCTGCTGAAACACAAAAGGGACCAGCTATAGGTCAGAACATGAAGGGGGAGAGCGGGCGAGGGAGGTGGATGGGGGGAAGGGGAACTTTCTCTCTCTCTCTCTCTCTCTCTCTCTCTCTCTCTCTCTCTCTCTCTCTCTCTCTCTCTCTCTC